GAAGGTCGGGGAGCCCCTGGGGGGGGGGGGTGAGCTGGGACAGTGGGCGGATTGGGGGGCTTGTGGCAGAGCCTCACAGTGCATGGAGGGGAAGTGGGGATCACCCCCCCTGCCCAGCAGCACCCATTGAGTTGGGGCTTTTTTTTAAAGCACTGGGAGCTGGGGCAGGTGGGACAGCCATGGGAGGCTTGGGGGAGTGGGCAGAGCAAGTAGAGGTTGGGGCCTGGCAGGGGTCCCCCATGGTCCCCTCCCCCTTTCTCCAGCCCCCTACTTACCAGCTCCAAGTCCAGCTCCAGCTCCCTGCTGCAGTGGGTGGGGACTGCCCAAATCATTTTGAAGCTCTCTGAATCTTTTCTGAAGATTCAGAGAGCTTCAAAATTGATTTGGACCTTTTTATGGGTCCCCAATTAGATTTGGAGAGTCAGTACGATTCGGTAGCCAAATCTTCTCCAAATTGAATCAGCACCTGAAGCTTCTCACAGCCATAGCAGAAAGTAGCAATCTTGGAGTGGGGGGCTTGGAGCTCCCTGCTTCTGGGGCAGGGAGTCATAGTCCCTGCCTGGACTGTGGTGGCGGAGCCTGCCTTGGCATCAGGCAGCTCCTGGGGGCAGGGAGCAAACTGCCATCCCAGGTGCTACTGCAGAGTAACTAATTGCAAGTAAGTTTGCTACTTGCATTTGTAGGTAGAAAATGTACTCATGATTAGTGAAGTTTACTGCACAGTAAGTGTGTACATGTGTAGTTGCTCAAATTTACTATGCAGTAAACTATGATACTGTGCAGTAAAGTGTCTTGTGTAGACACACCCATTATTAACTATCTTAAGTAACTTGTTCCCCCCAGAAAACCTACAGAACCAATATAAAGAAATATTACAGCCAAGGAAAAAAAAAATCAGATCATAAGCCTTTCCAAGTTTAAGGTTCAGTTAAATTACAAATAAACATAAAAGCAAAAACAAGTTCTTTAGTTCCATTTCATAGAATCACAGAATAGTAAGACCAGAAGGGACCCATAAGATCATCAAGTCCAGTCCCCTGCCATGGTAGGAAGTAGTTGGGCTCAAACAAGGTCAATGAGGTGTCCAGCCTCCTCTTGAACACCGAGGGATGACACCTCTGCTGGTGTGTTCCAGATTCTAGATACTAGGGTTATGTCAAACAGCACTGTTTAGTTTCAACTTCTGTTTCCACAGGTTCAAAAGGATAGTGTTTTGTTTCACTTTGAAGCATTGTTCCATTTCATTTCACTGAAACTTTCAGTTTCAATGCATTTCGATGTTTTGCCCATAGGCTATAATGGGGAATCATGAAAATGCCTATAATTTTGTCATTTCTTGCCTGATTCAGATGAAAATGGCAGAGATGGTAACATCTTCTGAGGGCATGAATCCTGCCAAGTCTTAAGGAGATGGGTGCAAGAATTTCTGGGAAACTGCACCTCAAACTGCTAAAAGCAAATCTTGTGTCATTTGCCGGCAGTGGCAGCCTCTTGTCATCCCGCACGCAGATCTGGGGGCCCACACCCCCAGGAGGGCTGTGCCAGACTCCTTCTGGGGCTGTGGGCTCCTGGATCTGTGCTCAGGATGGCAGGAGGCTGCTGCTGTGCCTGGGACCAGTGCTGGGCACAGCCTGTGCCCAGTGCTGGGAAGGCTGGTGCTGCCGCTGGCCCCATGCAGCAGCAGCCGCCTCCTGTCACCCCACACATAGATCTGGGGGCCCACACCCCTGGGAGGAGTCTGGCAGTGCTGGGAGGACAGGTTGATCTCTGTGGGGCTGGCAGAGCCACTCAGAGAGCAACCCTGGCTCTCCCTGGTTCCTGCTACCAGGCTGCACTTTGAGTGGCTCTGCCAGCCCCATAGAGCTCAGCCCACTGGCAGGAGGTGGCAGGCAAGCCTGTGGCAGAGCTTCTCATAATGCAGCCCTGAGGGGCCTCAGCAGTGGGAGGTTCCATAGCCCCATGGACCTAAGCCTGGAAGTGGGAGGCAGGGCCAGGGTTGCATTCAGAGCCACGGCTACACTCTGAGCGGCTCTGCTACTGGCTCTCCCTCCACCTCCTGCTGCCGGGCTGAGTTCCATGGGGCTGGCAGAGCTACTCAAAGCACAGCCCTGGTGAGCACAACCCAGTGACTGGAGGCTCCATGGCTGCAGAGCTGATCCTGGCAGCGGGAGGTGGTGGAAAGCCAGTGGCAGAGCTGCTTAGAGCACAGCCCTGGCTCCAACTGCAGCCCTGATTAGTGGTTCTCCCTCACCTCCTGCCACCAGACTCAGCCCCGTGGGGCTGTGGAGCCTTCAGCCACTGGGCTGTGGTCTCCAGGGTTGAGCTCTGAGTAGCTCCACCAGCCCCATGGAGCTCAGGCTGGCAGCGGGAGAACCAGTGGCAGAGCCACTGGAAGCACAGCCATGACTCCAAGTGCAGCCCTGGCCAGTGGCTCTCCCCCATGTCCCATGGCCAGGTTCAGCTCTGTGGGGCTGGCAGAGCCACTTGCAGTGCAGCCTGGTGGCAGGAGGTGGGGGAGAGTCAAGGCTGCACTCTGAGCAGCTCTGCCAGCCCCACACAATTCAACCCAGGACTGGGAGGCAGCAGGAAAAAGCCACTGGAGGGGCTGCTTGGAGTACAACCCTGGCCAGTGGCTCTCCCCCACCTCCTGGTGCCAGACTCAGCTCTGTGGGGCTGCAGAACCTCCAGCCACCAGGCTGTGCTCACCAGGGCTGAGCTCAGAGCCAGGGCTGCACTGCAGCCCCATGGAGCTCAGCCTGGTGGTAGGAGAGCCAGTGGTGAAGCTGCTCGGAGCACAGCCTGGCAGCAAGAGGTTCCACAGCCCCATGGAGCTGAGCCTGGCAGTGGGAGGCAGGGGAGAGCCACTGGCCAGGGCTGCACTCTGACTGGCTCTGCCACTGGCTCTCCTGCCACTGGGCTGAGCTCCATGGGGCTGGTGGAGCCACACGGAGTGCAGCCCTGGCTCTCGCCAGCCTCCCACCACCAGTCTGCTTTGAAACTCAAAACAGAGTGCCCTCATTTCATGTTGAAGCTGTTTTGAAGCCTTTTGTTTCACTTCAGTTTTACTGTTTCAAGCTCAAAACAGCTTTGAAATTAAACAAAACACTTGTTGAAATTTTGCACAGCTCTACTAGATACCCTTATGGGAAAGAAGTTTTTCCTTAATTCCAGCTGTAACAGGCTGGCCTTTAGAGTCAGGCCTCGGTGCCAGCCACCCACCTGTCCAGGTGGAAACCTCCGCTTTGGTCTCCTGCCAAGCCTTGATGGAAATAAATATGATCGCTATTTCTAAGGCAGGAGGCTGCCCATTGCTTGCCGTCCTAATGCCAAGGGCCTTGGTACATGGTCCCGCCTCCCACTACATGTGCCCCATGCCTAGCAGATGTTTCTTGGCCTACCACCTAGCCTCCCTTCTGGTGCACATACTGGGCCTTCCATATCTGGCCTAGCACCTGGCCTCCAACCTGGGGCACACACCAGGCCTTCCATCCTGTATCCAGTATTCTACATCGTCACATCCAATAATTCTGTATTCCCCTTTTAATTATTTCTACCCTCTCACCAGGGCCTCTGAATTTCACTGCTCCTCAACTGGACCACTTACACACCAGCCACCTCAATGGGCCACTTCACTATCATTCGGGCCCTCACTGGGCCTTCTGACCCCTTCCTAGGGCTACACCCAGCATCACTCCAGGCCTCTTCTCTCACTCAGCCCCTCTGGGCCATTTCTCTCACTCAGCCCTTCTGGGCCACTGGGGTCTTTCACCTGGTGGGGCTCAAGTGGCTGCAGCCATGTCTGGCCCCCTGCACTGGGGTCTTCCACCCCATGTGCTCGGGTGGCTGCCACCATGCCTGGCCCCTACATTCAAGCAGCCCCCTTAACAGGCTGGGTCTGTCTGGCCTACTCTTCTCTGGTGTATGTAACCTGCCCATAGGCAGGGGCTGGGGTTTGCAGTTGCCCCTCCTCATCTTTCACCAATGAGGTAACTGTCCTGGCATTTCTGGGGGACTGTTCCTCCATGAACAGCCCCACCAGGCCACCCATCCCTGGCAGGGTACAGTTTTAGTCTTACCCAGAACCAAGAGCCTCCAAAGCACCCCCATATCTCCTGCCCTACCTCCAAGGTATTCTAGGAGCAGCTCAGCCTGATGTTTTCACCTAGCCTGCTCAGCTCAGACTGCTGCTTTTCTCTCTGAGGACCTGGATTAAAATGGAGGCTACTCTGCCCCTCAGTCAATCCCAGGGTCCTCCTAGGGTCATATGCTATCTTTAAGGTTTTAAGTTGACAGTGGAGCAGCCAGCAAGTTGGTGTTAGCCTCATCAAAGTGGCAGGCACAGGTACAGGTACTCTGCCACACTAGCCTAAATTTTTCATCAGCTAGCTTGTGCTCATTGGACCTCGTCCTCCCAAGGGGTGCCTTTCTGAAGAATTGCTCCCCTAGATCTTGATGTTAGCCCCCGACATACTTGTAGGTGGCAATCAAGTCACCTTTCAGGCTTCTCTTACTCAGACTGAACAAATCCAGTTCCCAGAGTCTCTCCTCATAGGGACTATCCTCCAGACCCCTGATCTTATGGGTGGCCCTTCTCTGTACCTTTTTGAACTTATCAACATCCTTCTTGAAGTGCAGTGTCCAGAACTGGACACAGTAGTCCAGCTGTGGTCTCACCAATGCCGGATACAGGGGAAGGAGTATATCTCTGGATCTACTGGCAACGCATCAGCTGATGCATGCCAGAGTTCTATTTGCCCTGCTGGCGACTTCATTGCACTGATGGCTCATATTCATCCTCTGGTTAATTGTCCCTAGGTCCCTTTCAGATGCAGTGTCAGACAGGGGACCACCACTCATATAGTTATGATGAGGGTTCTTCCTACCCAGATGAAGTTTTTGACACTTGTCTCTATTGAACCTCATCTGATTGCATTGAGTCCATAGGACCAGCCTGCCAAGGTCATTCTGGATCCTTACCCTGTCCTCACATGTGTCTGCATTTCCCCACAGCTTGGAATCATCCACCAACTACTTTGTTTTTCATATCACTGATTTGGTTTTCCTTAGTTTTTCCTATCATTGACTGGGTTTTACAGGATGAATTCTCCTCCAAGCTCTTCAATCTAACTCAGCCCATTGTGCTCTAGGGGCTCTAGCTCATCACATAATGCAGGTAAAAATCACTCGATATCCATCAGAAGTACTTTCCCTTGTGTGATATAAATTGAGCAGGTAATTCACTATCTGGTTTGACTATCAAAATATTTAAAAATAATATTCCTTTATTTTAAAAAAAATCAAGCACCAAAACCAACTTATTCCTGAACTACATTTCCCAGAGCTAACCATGCCAAGGATCAGAGGTCACACAATTCTCCCCAGTTATAAAAATGACAGCTCTGGATGTCCCTGTGTTAGAAGGGGTACCTACTCCCGAGAGAATAGCTAGAATAGTCAACAGGGAACCAGTAGGCCATTTTCTTGGATAAACATATTATCCACTTTACTAGTACTAAAAAGTACCTTGTCAACAATTAGTAATGTTAATATAACATTATGGTTATCTTTACATCCATTAAAAAGGTGCACTGAGCTTTTTCTATATCTATTGCTTCCAAAAAGGGTTCTGCTAATACTGCCAGTCTAGTGCATTAAAAAAGCTACACACCAATCATGAAATTAAAAAGATTCATTTCTTAATCCAATATAGGCATCTCTTGATTTTCTTTGGGGCAGGGGTAGTGGGGGGCTGGGATAGCATCACCTTATTAAGTAAGCTGTGTTTTTCACCTTGTGTACTTCCTGCATTGTGGCAGACAAGTTACCTGCACCAACCAGATGCTCTCATTCAGGAGTGTAATGAAGGAGGGGAGATGAAAGCACCAGCCACAAGTACTGACCTTGGGTGAGTGGAAGAAGTGCAGGGCAGCTGCAAAAATAGCCACCACACTGCTGACCATGCAGCCACTGATGCTGCCCTGTGCCATTCAAGCACCCAGTTATACCTCTGTTCTCATTTCTCAGAACAATACTTGATGGACTTATTTTGTTTGCACAATATTGCAAACAGTGGGGATCTCCCACCAGGGATGGGAACAGAGCTCAGCTTTCTGACATTTGGATTATTTCATAAATAACATTCTAGCTTCCCAGTGTTTAGGAATCTTAGCATATGTTCTACCAGATTGTATCAGTGGGCCATTTACTTCTTCCGATAAACTGCTAATACCAAATAGAATTATTTATAGAGCGGAAACAGTTTAGTTTGGTAGATAGGACACTGGAGTAGCACTCAAGGGACCTGAGGCTTACTCCACAAAAAGATTTTGCCTTGATAACTAGAAGAAGCCACAGCCCCGTGTTGGGTGCCTAGACTCCCTGTACCATGCCTGAGTAGAGGGAAGTGTCTAAGGGGATCCACCAAAGCCAGCATACCAGATAGAAAAAGCTAAGGAGAGGATGGTGCCTTAAGCCAGGTTCCTCTAGGACTTAGCCACCTTGTTGGAGCTCAGACTAAGATGCTTGTCTCTGATCAGGGTGCACACAGTTCTAGATTTGGAGGCCTATGCCAGTCTTTTCTCACAGAACAGGGTTGTGGTGTTCCTTCTACTTTTTAAGCCAAAAGCCTCTTCTCCTTGGTAAAAAGTATGCTTGAAAGCAAAAGTTTGGGAACACAGGGAACTTAGACACCATAGACTGGGTGACAGCTGAGCAGGGTTTTTGAGAGTCTAAATGTTGGACTTAAGGCACCTGCACAGTCAATTTAAAGAACGGATGCATCTAAAATTCCTTTTTTTTTTTTTCCATCTAGCATAAGTGAGTCTCAACCAGGCTGCTATAGCACTGTGGGGTGTCATGACATCCTGTTAAGGTGCTGCAGGGTACCATGCAATATTAGCACTGTTAGGTGTGCAAACACCTACATATGATTCACAAGGTAAACTCTGAAATTTCAAATAGGAATCCATAGTGTGAAAACCATTCTGACCTGTTGTGGGCTGTGAGACTTCTTTGCACAGAATTGTTCTATTATTTTTCCTCAATCATGAAATGAGTAAACACTCAGAGCTGGCATTTTTCTGAGGGAGGGGGGCACCTTAAGTCAAAGAAAGCACTGATCTAGTCCCTAGATTCTATTCCTGGTTTTGCCACTGGCTTGCTGGGCCTCCTGAGGTAAGTCTCTTTTCCATGCCTTAGTTTCCTCATCATTAAAGTAGAGATAATGAAACCAACTCATTTTCAAAGGCTTAGAGAGAGAGAGTGACTGGAGAAAAAGCGAGAAGGGTAGTAGGAGAAGCTATATTTGATACATACTGTTTGTCATCAGTCTTCCACTTTTGGGCCTTGCCAGAAACTTCAGGAGGAGAGAGAAACTAAAAATAAGAATATATGCTTTATAAATCAATACAAAGTGCCAGGGAGAGATGAGGACAGGTGTGGGATTGGAAACTACTTTTAGCACTCCTTGAAACAGATTTTTTCAAGTTGATATAGCACCTCCTAGCTCCAAAGGTCCCGTTCCCCACCCCACATCTCACCCCAAAGCTACAGTGTGCTAACAGATTTATCTGGTAACAATTGCTTTTATGTTAACATAACTCTATTGACACTTATTATGGTCTATTTTAGGGCAGTCCAACTGGCAGATTGTGGGCTGCATAGGGCCCCAAAAGAATTCACATGTGGCTTGCAGGCTCCTAACACAACCACTGCTAGCTCCCTCCTGCTGCTGTTGCTTCTGTGAAGGCTGCTGGATTCTTTGGGCTCCCTGCGTTCCTTCAGTTTCTATTTCCTGCCCTACCCTTGGAGGTGGGGCAAGGAAGAGCAACTCAGTGGAAGGAGTTGGAGTGGTTGGAGTGCCCAAGTTGTGTGCATGGTGTGGGGACAGGATGCTTGTGCTGTGCACCTGGTGGGGTGAGGACTGGGCTGCTCATGGCAGAGAGGGGAGGAGCAAGCTGGGCTGCCTGCCAGGTATGGGGGGAAGCTGGACTGCCCAGAGAACATGCAAAGCTGAGAAGTGGAGGGAGTCAAGCTGCCTTCATTATGTGTGTGACATGGAGTGGGAGGGACATATTAGGCTGCCTGCATGATACAAGAGAACCCACAGTGAGGGCTACCCACCGAGTGAGCAGCTCTTGGTCTGTGTCCTGGGCTCTGAGACTGCAGCTAACTTGGCATCTGGGCCCCAGCTGTCCAGAAGTTGGAGCGCCCTGGTCTATTTTACTGCTCAGAGCAAAAAAAAAGATTATGTCATTTGTATGTGCACATGTGTAGTAACATCTTTATGGTCTGAATCAGGGCCTATAAACTGATGGTAGAACAGAGCAATTTACAATAGGATTCTGTATGAGCAGAAGCCTTCTACTGAGTTCCCTTATGTATCTGCTTTGGAAAACCTTTGCTGCCTACCTGGTACAGTTGAACAAGAACTTTTTCTTCCTTATAGCTTGCTTTCAGATGATTCTGGGAATAATCAGTTCCTTATGCTGTTTCAGAATCATGTCATAAGAATAGAGGTGTACTCAGCAGCTTCTCTGAAAAGCAAATAAGAAAGAGTGTCCTCTCCAATTCTACTAGGAAACAAAACATTTTAGTCTGGGTATTATTGGCCTCAATTCAGAAAATATACTTTAGTTTTAAGTGCATGAAGAGCATATTGCAGTCTGTGGGGCTACTTTTATGTTTATTGAAGCACTTATTAACCCTGTAATCAGGGCCTTCAATCAAGAAACTAATTAATAGTATATATTGTAATTCAGAAGGCTCAGTCTAAAAGTATACGGAAAGGTCAGCGCAGCTTATCTTGCTGCTAAGGATAGAAAGGAGTGAATTAAGTGTATCTGGTAATCATTTTCATGTGTCTGTTTTAAATTCTCAGATGATCTTTTTTTTCCATTGCTGCCCCATGGCATTTTGATTTCATTATGCAAAGCGTATGTGTGTTTCCACATGATAAAACCATCAGAGGATCCAACTGTGTGTGTGTTGGGGTGAGGGAGGGAGCGACCAGTGAGATGCCTGAGTGCCTCTGAATAGAGAAGGTTCCCATGGTGAAGTAAATCATATAAAGAAATCCGGAAAAAATAGCGGTATTGGTAGCCAAGAATACTTTCCCATGTAAAACATGAAGCAGCAGTCAGAGGAAAATGTGAGAATCAATTTAGATCAATACTTCTAATATTTTAATAGACCTCAGGAGCATCTGGAGAGATAGTAGAATACATTTCTATGACACAAATGCTGATACTGAGACTTGTGTATAGGGTGGACTTTATTTATAATTTACAATGTTAATTCAAATAAATATTTCCAGGGCCCATTTTTCACCCCCTTGGTTTATTTCTCTAAGCCAGGAGGTTATGGTCAGTGCAACCCCCTCCCAATATTAATGGAGAAGATCGTCAGCAGGTGAAAGAAAGCTGCATTGAAATGATTAGAGGATCCATCTCAGTGAGCTTGCATATGACATGAGTCTCCATAGTACTGCAGAGCAAATCTTTATCACATGTAGATGACTAATCTTGTAGTTGATTGACCCCGTATACATTCATGAAGGCCAAAACTTGCCAGTATCAGTGAACTCAACTATGCTCTGTGCTGTTCTGCTTGTCCACAGTGCCAGTATAGCTCACAGCTCTTCTCTTCTCCTGACTCCTGTGGACTGTATACCCTCAGGCCAACCTGCATTTTCACTTTTTGTTTTAAATCAAAATAGTAAACATTGCCATAGCACAGTCAGCCTTGTCAGTAAAACCTGATTAAGAAAATTTTAAACTTACAGTTATTATGTGACTTGGTAGAGTTGGATGACAATACAGGACTCCACACATTGTAGCTGTATAGGCACAGAGTTGATGTATGTTGACACAATCTAAGGCATATAGTTAGTTCATGCAGCCTATGTTAACTCAGGGCAAAGCAGCTAGAAAATGTTAATGCATCATTGTCTAAAGAATGGAGATTGACCTTGCACAAGGTAACCGTATTACTACAGGGTTTGTAAAACTGAAAGGATTTCCAATTCTCTGGCTTTAGCATTCAATGTACAATTGCTGGGGTGGGGAATATTCAAAGACCTTTTCAAGTTTATGGTTTGGGGAGTGGGGGAGGGTTCAGACTATCCCCTGACTCTCACTTCCAGCAGGTGGTCTCAGCCAGCTCACTTCATACTGGCAATGACCAGAGATTTGTGGACCATCTGATGGTGTTGGATATCATGAAGCACCTCATCGTTTTGAGCAGTAGTCAGGTACTCTGCAGGCTATCAGGACGCTCTCATTGCTTGGGCACATATAGGGAAAATATGGTACAAAAACACTGATCATCCCCAGTTCCCTGCTTTAGTCTTCCCTGCCACAAACCTCAGTCTCAAAAGGAGCCCCTAACTAACAAGCAACAGAGGACTAGGGTGCCCATGCAGCTATTGGCAACAGTTTTTTAACTCCACTAGTCTCTAAGGTCAGACTGTCCTCCTCATGTTAAATAGTATCACAGTATAGCAACAACCCTGCTGTCTACTACAGTGGGACTACTCAATATATATAGCCACATCCCATGGTTTGCAGGTCTGCCTTCAATAGGCTTTACATGCAGACTTCACACAGACATCTTCAACCAGGTAGCTGTACGATGGCTATGTTTACACTATTTAGGGTGGATCTTACGGCCACCCTATGCCTAATATTCTGATTGTCTGCCAGCACATTCCATCTCCCATGGGCTAGGGACAGACATTCAAAAAGCCTGAACCGGTTGCTAGCCATACAGACAATCCCTCCGGACTGAGGAAATTCAGGCACATGACTGCAGTGACTCAAGCTGGAAGCTGCACGGTGCTAGAACAGTTCTCTCTTCCCTTGCAGAGCTGAGGTGAGGGGGGTGTGGTCAGGTCACAGCAGGAGGCTCTGATTAGGGAGGGGTGTAAACCCCCAGCCTGCCTGCAGTCCCAAGCTTTTCCCAGATTGCTGCTCAAGGGAAGGGAGTGTTGCCAGCCCCCAGCTAGCACGAAGGCAAAGAGGGGGTCTGCAGTGCATGCATCTGTTGCTGATACGGAGCTTTTCAATCTCCCTCCCTGCTTCTGTATACTGCCTGCAGCAAACTGACAGGCAAGCAAGCCAGCAGGGGGAGGGGGGAACTTATAACAGTGTTACTCCTATCTCAGTGTTTATCACCCCATTAAGAAAACAGAGGGACATTACCTGTTCTCTTACAGGTGGGATGATCTCCTATGCAGGGCTTTAAACTAGGTTAGTTGGGGGACAGGGATGAAGACAACAGAGAGAACCTAGGATCAACAAACCATGAGCCATGCACTAGAACAGCCCATGTAAATACTAACAGGCCCAATGGGCATCAGGACAGGGCATCAAGGGTGCCCATTGTGGGGCTTAAATGTCTACATATTAATGCTAGGAGTATGGGGAACAAGCAGGAGGGACTCGCACTACTGCTTGCAAACAAGAACTTCAACTTGGTTAAGCTAACTGAAACCTGGTGGGACCCTACACATGATTGGAGTAGGGGAGTATACCTACTTAGCCCACACTTGCAGGGGGGCTGTTAGAAAGGCCAAAGCTGCAATAGAGCTTAGGCTGGCAACAAAAATTAAAGACAACAAAAAGGCCTTCTGCAGGTATATAGGGAGTAAAAAAAAAAGTCACAGGGAAGCATAGGACTTCTAAAGAACAAACTAGGGCAATTAGCAACAGATAATGAGGAGCAAAGCTGAGCTCTTCAATGAGTTTTTTGCTTCTGTATTCCTGAACATGAATCAAGATAAATCTCCCAATTGGGTCATAGACAGGAACAAAAGGGACAACAGCCTACCAACTGCTAACACCCATGGAGGATGTCCATTCCAGCCTCCTCCCTGTACATCCTTCACCAGTTTTTTTTCCTCTTAGTCAGGTAAAGTGACAATGGCAATGTGACCTAAGCTGCAGACATTCCTGAGGTGGGAGGGAACCTGCTCCCTTTGTGTCAAGTTTCCCTGCTCTTGCCAGCCAGGTAACCAGGTCTCTTGCCTTTCTGTCACTGTAGATGTTAAGTAACCCTCTATCCTATGTATGAGACCTCAGGTATCAGGGAGGGGACTTAAACCCCTATTGTCTTACCAAGGACCTTATGACTGGGAGTTGGGCTGGAGTCCCTACCAGTCTACCTGGCAACCAGTAATGCATTTCCAATTGACTGGCTTGAAGCCAACTTCAGCTAGTCTCCATTGGACCCCAGAGTGAGGTCATAAGGTTTATATAAGTTAAATACTGCCCAGGAGGAGGGGTGGCATCCATGATGAAGACACAGAAAGCAGCTGAACATTTGTAGCTTTCTCTCTCTCTTGAAACACATGGACACATTACAAACTGCCTGCCTCCAGAGGAAAGCTCTATCAGCCTTCGGATGATACTTGTGAGTAAGCTACTTGAAACCTAACTATATATACAGCTTGCAGTAACACAGATGTGTGATCAAACGCTACCCAGCCACGCTGTTTGCTATAACGGTATTCTTTGATACTTCTCTATCATGAACTCTGTCACAACCCAAAGTTGTGAGTTTTTGTTTTGTGTGTGCTTCGGCACTGCTAAATTATGTTCCCGCTAAATTGCAGCTTCTTTGCACGGTGGAGTTTTCTGCTGTAAAGGAGAACCCCGGTGCAAGGGAGAATTTCCCGCCAAATTTGTAGCTTTCTTTGCATGGTGCATTTCTTTTGCAGCTCAGAAATGCATTGTGCAAAGGAGTTCCCGCCATTTGTATTTTAATTTGAGCCCCATTATTGGCTTTTCTTAAATTATGCACACGTGGCGGCTAGCAATTGGCTTGCTAGCCGTATAAAGAGCTTGGGTGGTTTCCGCCCAAGTTGGAGAGAGAGCAATTGGAGTTCGAGAGGGAGAGTGTGAAGATCTCTAAGCGCTGCGGATCCTTACGAACCCAACGCATTTCTTAAGAAGGCAACAGAGGTCTAAACAGCCTCTGGCCTCTCCCCGTTGCCGAGCGCAATCCTAGACATATTCCTATCCTACATACTCAATTGCTGAACCTGCGGAGCTTTAACAACTCCGGGGCCAGAGAGCCAAACCAAACCCACAGAGCTTTGACAACTCCATGGGAAAGAAATTGCCGAACCCGCGGCGCCTGAACAACTCCGGGGCCCAAGAACCGAATTTATCGTAGTCCTCCAACGAGGATTTAAGCGGAGCTGAACCTGGAAACTGTCCAGCCTA